ATCTTTTCCTATGCTTATAATAACCATCATTCTGTCTTTGCATCTAATAATGTCATGTTGTTTAACAACTGTACTTTTAAATTTAATACATTTTAATATTTGATAAAGGAAACATCGCCTTTACTCTTTAAAAATGTTGCCTAGTACCACTCATTTATCCTTCCATATGAATTTTAGAATCATTCTGTAAAGTTCTCAAAATGTTAACAGTCAACAAATTATGTGGATAACCATTTGGAAAAAGACAAATATAGATTCCTACCAAATCCCTTATACCAAAATAATTTTCATATCAAATATATTAAGAAGAAATTATAAAGCATTAGAAGAAATCTTGGTTTAGTAAGGATTCATAGTATGACAACCAAGATAAAAACCTTAAAGAAAAAACTAATAGAATTAAGCCATTCTAAACAATTGTTTATAAAACAATTGTATTTCCATAAAAATTACTAAGCAGAATTAAGGTAAACTGGGAAAACACACACAATTGCAATGAAACAGCAAAGAGTTAATATATTTAATGTAGGAAGAGCTCTTTCAAAATAGTAAAATATAAATATCCTTTAAAAAATGAGCAAAGAATTTAAATGAAGTTGCGGCCACCTCTGTTGGAGGACAGGGCTCTAAGTTAATTGTGTAATAGATAATGCACGTTCTCAATGGCTCTACAGTCATTATTAACATGTCTTCCTTCCTCCCCACAAGGACATAAGGTCATTCCTGTCCTTCAAGTTTGAACAGCTAAAAAATCAGAGAATCCAAGGGGTATGTTCTATTTCCCAGGAATGATTGACACTTTGGTGCTGGGGTTTTATGGGGGGAGGGGGTAGTTTTTGTTTAGCTTGTGTGGGATTGTGTGGGAGGGGAAGTTTTGATTGTTTTTTTTTTTCTTTCCCTTTGTGAGCTGTTGACGCCTGAAGTAGAAGAAGTATGTCTTCCGGTAAAGAGAGGGATTTCTCAACCCACTTTCTGTGATGTCAGACTATTGGAGAAACCTTTTCAGCTGCTTTACAGATGTACCTAAATTCAGTCAGATATTTTGGATTAAGAAACCTGAAGTCCTGACGGATCATATACTCCAAGGAAATATATCAGGGACAGATAATTGGCTGAAAACACAGACGCTTCAATGTGACACATTTTTATAGAACATTTCTACCAGGGGGTACTGACTTGATTTCTCCTACAAGGACCACACTGCCTTTGTGTTTAATGTAATGCAATCTGTGTACCTTCTAATCATATATCTGCAAAAGTTTCTCATTTTTATAAAAAATCATGCCAGTAAGCTAGATGTTGAATGTATGTAAGCAGCATTTGGTAACTGGGCTAAGAGGCTACAAAGGTGCATTACTGGTTTAAAAAATTGTTTATTTTAGTTCTGATTTGGTTGGATAAGGTTTCATTATGACCTCTTCTGGGTCTCAGGCTGTAATGCTTGATTGAAATAGAAGAAAATATATTGGTTTTTGAAAATCAGTGTATTGTGACGTGAACTGCTATACATTCTTCCACACAATATGTCAGAGTGATTAGTGCTTTGTACATTTAGACATTTTTATTTTATTGTTGTGAAAGAAAAAATATACTGAATTTATAGAAAGTATTTTCCTAATTAACAAAGTTTAAAATAACCAGAAAAAATAACCAGAAAAATAACCAGAAAAAAAAAGAGCAAAGCAAAGAACATAATTTACAAAAGAATGGAAATAGCCATAAGTAGATGAAAAAAATGCTCAATCTCATTCATAATTAAAGAAATACAAATTAAAACAAATAATCAGATACCATTTTTTCCACCTATCAGATTGACAAAGACAAGCCTAAAAGTAGGAGAAATTTTTAAAAATAATAAAATAAATAATAGTGCCCAATACTGAGAGTGGGAGGAAATGGACAATATTAAGAAAGTGTGAGGAAATGGACATTCCCAAACATTGCTGGTGAAGTGTGTATCAATGCACCTTTGAAGAGTACTTTGACAATATATATTAAAATCTTTAAGAATGTACGACTACTCTGATGCAGCAATCTCACTTCTAGGGTCATTTCCTAAGAAAATAAATGGACATATACTCCTAAATATTTAAATAAGGATGTTCACCCATGCACTACTTATAAGAGTGAAAAAGTAAAAAAACTACATGTTCCACAACAAAAGATTGGTTATATAAATGAAGACATTTAATGGTAGATTGAACTTCTATACAATCATTATGACTCACATTCGTTGACATGTATTTAAAAAGGAAAATTCTTAACTTGTGAAAATTAAATAAAATACTGCATTATAAAGTGCTTAGCATACTGCCTGTCACATTGTAAGCAAAAATTTACATTTTCACATTATGTTTTATGGAAAATTTCAAATGTATACAATATGGAAAGAGTAAGATGATGAAACCCTATATATTCATCACTTAGCTTCAACAATTATCAACATTTTGCCATTCTTAGTAATTTTTTAAGTTTGCAACTATTCCTCTCTTCCAATACACACACATACAGTGTTTTTCCTACCAAATGTACATGAGTGCAATGTACACAGCATACAAGCACAGAAAAAGTCAGAAGAAACTTACACACAAATGTTAACCACGGTAAATCTCTAAAGGATGGAATTATGAGTAATTTTATTTAATTCTCATTTCATCTACATTTTCTCATATTTCTAAAATGAACATGTATTATGTCATTTTAATAGCTGACTAAAAGAAAAAAATCAAGCAAATATATGACTCAAAGAGTGAGAAGTTATTCTGAACTCCACTTTTTTTTTTTTTTTGGTTACGTGGCTTGAGGGATTTTAGTTCCCCGACCAGGGATTGAACCTGGGCCCACAGCAGTGAAAGCGCTCAGTCCTAAACACTGGACCGCCAGGGAATTCCCTGAACTCCAATTTTAGATGTTAAAAAATACAGAAGAAAAAACTTTCCATCAAAATTTTTTTTAAATTGGGGGGAAGTGTGGATGTTGATATCCATTTATCCGATCTGCAAGACTTTCTACCTTTATTGTTCAATGGTGATTCACATATCAACAAAATGCAATGTTTCAACCTTAACTGGAGTCCAAGACATTATTTCACACAACTCACGAAATTTGAACAGACTAGATACTAAATTATTTAAGAAGTTATTTAGTCTGTTAATGTGACTCTAGTATGTTTATTTTTTAAGTCCTATCTGTTGGGAAATAAGACAATGTCTGTGATTTGCTCTGTAATATTCCAGCCAAAAGTAAAAAGTAGGGAAGGATGAAACAAAATTGGCAAAATGAGTTGTTGCTCAAAGAGTCTTAGTCTTTCAAGCTGAAAAAGTTCTAGAGATTTGTTACACAACAAGGGGTATATAGTTAACACTATTGTACTCTTTAAAATGGTTAAAATGGTAAGTTTTAATGCTTTTTACCACAATTTTTTAAAAGACTGGCAAAATGATAACTATTATTGCTGGATAATGAGTATACAGAAATTCATTTTTAAAAAATTTTTTAAATGAGGACCACAAGGGAGAAAGAAATATAGTAACATTTATAGTAACAGTTTTAGTTTAAAGAAAACTATCAGAAGAATAATTCAAATACTTTTAAGTAGGGAAAACAAACGTTGGCTTTTTAAAGGCATCTTACTCTAGCCCCAGCTAAATTATGGTAAATAAAAATCTCATTTTTACTAACAATGAAGCTTTAATTATGCTGAGTAATCACAACAGTAATTTGAAAAAAGGATCTACAATCAACAATAAGCATACTACATAGATGAATAATTGAGAACTTAAAAACTAGGACTCAATTTTCTATTTTGCCAATCTGAGGCCTACAATATCTTATAGCTATTTATGTTTATGTATAAGTGCTTTAGCATTCAGGCCAAAAAACGCTGGTCTAGACATCCAGGATTTTACTGGCCCACTCTGGCTGCATAGCTTACTGCAGCCTAGTAACTAATTTTGTTCCTTGAGATTGCTGTGGGCCCCTCTTGCCATTCTGAGTAGACTCACTAACAGCAGAGCCATTTGTGGTAGTTTACTAGTCTGCTGATATTTCAGGGGGGATGATTAAAAGCCAATATATTACTGAAACTTAGAGCAGCAAATAATACAAATTGTTTCTTAAAAAAAAATTTTTTTAGAGCTTCTCTCTAGCTCTCTTAACTACTCCAGTAATTCTCTCTTCTATAAAACTGAGATAACTACCAACCTTGACAAATTATCATGGTATTAAACAGATAATAGATAACTATATATTCTAGATAACTACATTTAGAAGAAGCACTGAGACAGTGTCTAGCACACAGAAGATGGTCACAAATATTCATTACCCTCTATTTTCATTTCCCATGTGATCTTGGTTTTTAATTGAAAAAGCAAACAAACTGAATATGTTCTAAGAAGAAAGTTCCTAAATTAGGTAGCTAATTTTTTGTTTTGTTTAAGCCATTTCTTTTTCATTAAAAAACAGTTTCTAGTAGTGTTCTAAGAAGTGTTTCTGTTGCCAAAAAGATACTGCTTTTAGTTAGTGTGAATCTTTCAATATTTGTGTCCAAACAGGTGGACTGGCCAAAGCTCCCTGGCTGAGGGACCTCAGCCAAGGCACCCCAAACTATCAGAGATGGAACAAGACACAGACTGAAGTGAAACCAAGGCAAGAGCCAGGAACAGCCAGAATTAAGTAAGCCAGAGCCAGAAAGAAATGGAAAAGGAGACAGAGAGAGCAGAGGTAGAAAGAGAAAAGGAGAGAGGGAGAGACCAAGATTAGGAGAGTGAAACAAATGTGAGTGTGGAGTGAGCATGAGAATGCAAGATAGTGACAGAGCGAGAGAGCAAGAAAGAGCACGGGTGAGGAGTTAGGAACCATTGAGGAAAGCAGCAAGCAAGGGAGCAAGAGGGCGTGGGGACGTGGGTGGACATGGTGAGCACATGCGCACTGCATTAAGCCAGCTCAAATTTAATCAAAACCTCTCTGCCTCTCATTATCCCAAAATGTCTTAAACTTACCTGAATTATCTCTGATTGTTCAGCCAGAGCCTTCCTTTGTGCCTCCAGAGAAGACACCTGTTGCTGATAAATCAAGCGCTGCTTCTCCCAGTCCAGTGATCTCTGACGAAATTCCTGAAGAAGCAATTAAGGTACTTAACTTCTAAGTGCTTCCCCTTGCTGTCACTACTTTCCAGATTCACTTTTACTTTAATTGTTCCCCAGGTCCCTGGGTACACATGCACCTTTCTCCACAGCAGGAGCCCCATTACTCACTTAGCTGATAGAACTATAGAGTAATACTAAATTCCTTACATACTGTGCCTCTGGAGATCTGTCTTTCTAAATTTAACACCCTAATGGCAAAGAGTATGAAACACAGATGCTAAATACTGGATTCATGATTTTCAAAGATCTGCTGCCACCTAAGGGTTGCTAATAATTTTTTTAGTGATTTTTCAGAAAACTGATGCTAAGATAATGAAAATTTCAAAATATGATTACAGATATCCCTCACTGCCCAACTTTTGATATCCAAACCCAGGAACTAAACAGATTCAACTAAATTTTCAGATAAATCCCTGGGTAGCCCAATTCTTATCAGTGTCTAAAACTCAGGAACCAAATAGAATCAGTTAACACAGTACCCTTTGATATCCAAATTTTTATTATCTCAACAGAACTGCAAAGACATAAATAACAAGAAATATCTGTATTAAATTTTAACAGATATCTGTAACCCAAAGCCAAACAGTTCAAAATCAATAATGGATCAATAGTAACTTCAAGTTGTATGATCAAGAAAATGAGCCCAGTATTTATGAAAATGAGGCAAACCAAAGAGAAAGGAAACTCAGTCTTTCCATCACTGTCCTCCAGGAGGCTCAACTCCAGAAGTCTCATGCTAGCTTAGGGTAATTACTGTTCACCAGCTGATACTCACTTATTCATTATTTCTACCATATACATGCCAGGTACTGTTCTAGGTGCTGGGAATACACTATTTAACAAAACAAAAATTCTAGCCCCACTCAATTGGAGGGAGATAGGCAACACATTCATTGTACAATACATTAGATAGTAATACAGTCATCCCTCAGTATCTGTGGGGGACTAGTTTCAGGCCTCTGCAGATTCTAAAATCCACAGATGCTCACGTCCCTTATACAAAATGGTGTATTATTCGCATATAACCAATGCACATCCTCCCATATACCTGAAATCATTTCTAGATTACTTACGATACCTAATACAATGTAAATGCTATGTAAATAGTTGTAAATACAATGTAAATGCTGTGAAAACAGTTGCTTGTGCATGACAGATTCAAGGTTTGCTTTCTGGAACTTTCTGGAACTTTTTTCCCCCAGAATATTTTAGATCCATGGTTGGTTGAATCCATGGATGCGGAACCCACAGATACAGAAGGCCAACTGTACCTGTTTTGGGGAAAATAGAGCATGAAGTGCTCAGAGTTGGGGGGCTGCAATTTTAAAAAGGAGTGGCCACATTGAGTAACATTTAAGTAAACACCAAGGGAGACAGGGATGAAGTTATACTATTCTGGGAAGAGGGAACAGCAAGTACAAGGCCTTGAAGTGGAAGCATCCTGGTATGTTCAAGGATGAGCAAGGAGGTTGCTGTGGCTGGAATAAGTGAGTAAAAGGGAAAAAAAGAAGGGAAAGGTCAGAGTTAACAGGCGGTGAGACTACGTAGGTCATTATGATAACTTTATCTTTTAAGAGAAGCTACTGGAAGGTTTATGTACAGGAGAGGACATGATTTGACTTACATTACAACAGAATCATTCTGGCTATTGTGCTGGGAAAAGAGAAATCAAGGGTGACTCCAAGGTTTTTAGGCTTGAGCAATCTGAGGAATGGAGTTGCCATTAACTGAAACAGAAATGGTGCTGGAAGATAGGAGAGAAAAAAATCAGGACCTTTATTTTGGACATGTCAAGTTTGAGACAGCTTTAGACATTGGAGATGTGAAACAGGAGGTTGGAAATTATTCTGTAGCAAAAAGGAGAGGTCAGGACTAGATATACAAATGTGGGAATTATCAACATATACACAATGCTTAAAACTATGAGACTGAATGATATCACCAAGGGAGTGGGCCTAGACAGAAAAAAGAAGATTACAATGACACAACCGTAAGGTGTTCCAATGCTAAAAGGTTGGGGAACAAAAGAGACTGAGAAAGAGTGGCAAACAAGGTAGGAGAAAACCCAGGAAAGTGCAATCGTTCTCCAAGCCAAATCCAGAAAGAGGTGTAAGGAGGACGGAGACCAGCTGGGTCCAATGCTGCAGATGAGGGAAGATGAGGGCTGGCCACAGGCTTGAGTAATGGGGAAGTCACTGGTGACCTCCATGCAAATAGCTTCTGCAGAGAGAGGGGGCAAAAGCCTTACTGAGTGGGTGTAAGAAAAATGGAAGGAAAGGAACTGGAGACAAGTATAGGTACTTAAAGTAGTTTAGTTATAAAATGAAGGAGAAAAATGGGGCAGTATCCAGAGGATGAAGAGAGAGGTCAAGAAAGGATATTTAAGAGGGGGGAAGTTTGCATGTTGGTGGAAAATATCCAGTAGGGAGGAAAAACCTGATGATGCAGAAGAGAGGAGCATTTCTAGAGTGATGTCGTGGGTAGGGAATTGGGAGAGCATGGACCGTCCCTCCAGCAGGAAGGCGGAGTATACGGGTGCAGTTGCAAATAGGCAGGTAGACACAAGGTTGCAAGTTTGTGAAAATTATCTTCTATTTTCTCAATGAAATAGAAAGGAAGATCATCATCCAAAAGTGAGGATGTGGGGAAAAGTGTTGAAAATTCAAGAAAAGAGAAAGTATGAAACAGTCATTATGGAAAGTAGGAGAGTGAGGGGAAATATAATATGATTCTGGGCAGCATGAGGACCCATTTGAGGTGAGTGACCATGAATTTAAAATGAGGCCAGTCAGCACGATTATATTTTTCTCCAGCCATGGTCTGCCACACATGGCAGGTAGAAAGTGGGGAGAAAGCTGGATTTAACGAGAGTTACAGTTTTGCCAAGCAAAGGCAATGAAGTGAGAGCACAGAATTGAAGGGGAATATAAGGAGTGTAACCATGGGATGGAAGCTGGGTAAGGACTTGTAACTGAGGACACAAGGTAGAGACGGAGCAGTGACAAGGGGCAGGATCCAAGCACTTTAAGGGATGGGGGGGTCAGGTGAGTATCGAGCATCAGGAGCCAGAGGGAGAGAGCTGAAAAGACAGGGATGGTAGTTGGAGAATGTGATGCTTAAAAATGTGATTCTAGGAGGATTGCAAGTATTGGTAATGGTAACACCTAAGGAATGACAACGGGAAAAGGGAGAAGAGACAGATAGGAGATCAAAATATCTGTGGAGGAGAGAACACCAAGGAACTCAAAGACCACAGTATTATAAGCATCATCTCTGTGGATACTGAAATCCTCAAGAATTACGATACGAGCAAGGTTGGAGAGAATGACAGTGAACTGGGAGCTGAAGTCTTTGAACAGGGGAGTAACCAGGGATCAGAAGATGACTAACTTTGGCTGTATGTACACTGGTTGGTGGTATATGCTGATGACATGAAAATCAAAGATGGAGTTTCTTGTTGGTGGGAATGTAAATTGATATAGCCACTATGGAGAACAGTATGGAGGTTCCTTAAAAAACTAAAAATAGAACTACCATACGACTCAGCAATCCCACTACTGGGCATATACCCTGAGAAAACCATAATTCAAAAACAGCCACAATGTTCATTGCAGCTCTATTTACAATAGCCAGGAGATGGAAACAACCTAAGTGTCCATCGACAGATGAATGGATAAAGAAGATGTGGCACATATATACAATGGAATATTACTCAGCTATAAAAAGGAACGAAACTGAGTTATTTGTAGTGAGGTGGATGGACCTAGAGACTGTCATACAGAGTGTAGTAAGTCAGAAAAAGACAAATACCGTATACTAACACATATATATGGAATCTAAAAAAAAAAAAGGTCAGAAGAACCTAGGGGCCAGACAGGAATAAAGGTGCAGACCTACTAGAGAATGAACTTGAGGATACGGGGAGGGGGAAGGGTAAGCTGGGACAAAGTGAGAGAGTGGCATGGACATATATACACTACCAAACGTAAAATAGCTAGTGGGAAGCAGCCGCATAGCACAGGGAGATCAGCTCGGTGCTTTGTGACCACCTAGAGGGGTGCGATAGGGAGGGTGGGAGGGAGGGAGATGCACCCTTGTAAAGCCATTATACTCTAATACCGATGTAAAAAAAAAAAAGATGGGAGATTCTGAGGTACAAAGAAAAGACAATGGTCAGGAAGTGGTAATGGGGAACAAGAACATGAGCGGTTTTTCAAAAAAACCCCAGATTTCACTGAAGAGGGCTGCAGGGAAAGCAGTATCTGATTCTAAGCTCTTCAAATGTATAAAAATATTGAGATGTAAGAAAATATTAAATGCAGAAATTAAAATTCTAGGTAGTAATAAAATACTGGCATTTGTGGGTGACAGGTCACTGAGTAGAAAAATTATAAGTAATCACACAAAGATGTTGAACAATGTTTCTCAAATTAGCATTGGCTAGGGAAGCTAGATAAAATGCAGAGTCCTAGCTCGCATGCCATACAACTGGATCAAAATCTCTGAGAGCCTAAAGAGGGCTCTGGGTGACTCTTAGGTACACTTGAGAACCAAGAGCATAGACAGAGGAGGGGATCCAAGGGGAAAGAAGTGACAGCCTCGTGCTGCTCTTTCATCTACTCTTGGTGGTATTAACCCACCACTCCCTTAACTCCTCTAGGGAATCAATATATACAATAGTAATGGAGTTACTCAGTCTTAATAAAAAAAAAGTCAGCAAAGGGGGAAGTAAGTGACTTACCATATCTAAATGGGAACTGATGATAAACAATCTGATATGCAGAGTACTCTGTACAAAAAAGCTTCAACACTTAGTACCTTCAACACTTACTAAGCCCCTACTCTGTTAGGTGATAAATAAGACAAGGACACTGCCCATGGTGGACAGCTAGTAACTGGTAGTCAATGTTCCTCAATATTGGCATTTTGGGTTCAATACTCCTTCTTGTGTGGAAAAGTCCCAGCCATGTTTAGTGTCCCTGGTCCCTGGGCCCTACACACCAGTTTCACTCCCAGTCATTCTGACAACCAGAACAATGTCTCCATACATTTCCAATGCCCTCAAAGGAGGGTACTGCCCTACTGAGAGCTACTGATAGCTAGTAACCATCCTGGTGACAGGATGCACAGTGGACCACCCTCCCACCTTTGAAATAGCTCAGTAGTAGTCCTGGAGATGAGAGAAAATTGGTTTCAGGAAATAGCACTATTAGAAACAGCATTTTCCTACATGAAGGCTGACAATCACTATGAACAAATCAGTACTGTGAACATACCTCTATTTTTCCAGTTAACCTCTCAATTTCAGACCGATCTTCCCTGTGATTTTTGGCATTTCCTCTGAAGTCTCTCACATGTTTTCTCTGTAGCTTTTCATAGCTTCTCTTCAGTCTGCCTAACTGTAGACACAGTTATTTCTAGACTTAAAATTTAAGAATGTGTAAACAGTGCTGATACAACAAATTGGCATTATGAAAGCACACGTAGAGCTAACTAGTATCCCTGAAAATAGACAGCATGTCAGATAAAATAACAACTCAAAACTACATATAAAAAATAAACACCAGAAAAGAAATATATTGAGTCAAAGAAAAAATAAAGGGAAAATATTTTATAAACAGAAGTTTAATTTTTCTTACAATGTACAATCGCCTTGCACTTAGGGGCCCCTAAACCCACCCCACAATAAAAGCAGCAAATAAAAACCCTGTCTCTCTTCTCTAGGCCTGTGGTTCTTGAACCATTCTCCTGCGGAACACTGAGTAAGTAAGCAAGAGAGGAGTACTGTGGAATTAAATGAAAATAAAAGCAGTTTTTTCCCAATCTGAAGAATAAAATTGAGTTAACTGATAGAATTTTCTTACTTTTCTTATCTATCCCAAAATGCTTCTGAAACCTTTGGATCCTCCATTATTTAAAATCTAGTAACTGATTCAACTTTAAAATTAAAACATTTAATATAAGCTTTTGGTAACAGTATTTCATGGTATTATACAAAAATAGCTCTATTTCTTTCAGGTACTCAACCAACAAACACATTTTAGAATCGCTGTTGTAGGTAGTACCAAACATATAAATAGGCAAGATTCTTTACCTGGGTTTCAGAACAGAGAAATAGATTTCCACCCCTGCACCTCCCTTAGTATATATACATCCACTCTATGAAGTAGAAACTGGCTCATTAACAAAATTCTCATGGGTTGAAGAGACAGAATTATACAACACGTAACAGAATTAAAATCTTACTTCTTCATGTAGTTTCTTTAACTCCAGCTTATACTCTATGGCCATCTCTTGCTTGGCTTTTTCATGTTCTTCAACCTGCTGACGCAACATTCCAACCTAAAAGCAGAGAGGTGGTAGCATTTTTCACTATTAGCATTGAAACAATAACCCTGAAACACAAAACTAGGAAATAACCTTTGTACTTATCTGTGAATACACGTTCTCAACTGTACAATTTCTCAGGAAGTCAAATATCTAATTATTTAATAATCCATAACAATGCCAAACAATGGAAAACGAGCAATTGCTCTAGAATTTCTAGGTTTAGAGGGAAACTTCCTCTGTCTCATTTATTCTCCCCAACCCTTTTTATCAAAAAAAAAACCTCACAAAAAATTAAGAGAGATAAAGTTACAAGAACCTTGGAATCTAAAAATATGGAACAAAAATCTATAAGACTTCAAGAATAAATTCTATAAATCAAAGTACAGAATAGTAACATCAGACAGAAAGACAGCAGGAGACTTGTACCTGCTTTACCATTTACCCCACTTCAAAGAAAACCAGTTTCACCAGCCAGAGTGAGCATGTTATCCTAACCCATTTTTCAGTGGTTTGATGCCAGCCACAGCTAGCTCATGTCCAGCCCTCACTTCCATCAATATCCATCAGCATTTCTCTACATCTCTCAATAACCAGTTAGCATTTTATCTACTAATGGCTAGAAGGGAAAGGAAGAACTGGGAACAGTAAGTAGTAATCTCAATCACAATACAGAATGGTAATTTAAAAATTAAAAAACTGTAGATCTTAAAAGTTCTCATCACAAGAAAAAAAACATTTGTGACTATGTATGGTGACAGATGTTACTAGACTTACTGTGGTGATCATTTCACAATATATACAAATATTGAATCATTACATTGTATAACTAAACTAATATAATGTTATATCTCAATTATACCTGAATAAAAAAATGCAAAAATAAAGTTTTTATAAGAACAAGGAGTTAATGCAATTAAAAATTCTAGTAGAATTCTTTTTTGGAACGAAAAAGTGATTCTGAAGTTCAAACCAAAGGAATGATTAAATATAGCCAATAAAATAGAAAAAACTACTTAAAAATTTTTTTTTTATTTAAATGAGTATTTACTGAATTCCTGGATAGGGAGAAACTGAGCTTAAAACTAATGAAAGAGTCATTTGAGAATGACAGATTTGACTCTGCAAAATGTGAAACTTCTATATTTGAAAAAAAACCATTAAAATTAAAAATCAATAAACTGAGAAAAACATTTACAAAAGTATGTCAAAGGGTTTTTAGTATTTAGGTATCTTTTTGTAACTTGTTTCCACTATGTTCAAAGAACATACTCCATTATTTCAAGACTCTGAATTGTGTCAAGATTTATCATATGGTCAGTTTTAGAAAGAGTTGCTTGTGCTAGAAAAAAACATACACCACAGTTCTCTTGTGCAATGTTCTGTATATATAAATTAGGTCAAGTTTGTTGTGGTGCTCAAATCTACATCCTTACTGACATCTGTCTCTTGTTCCATCAGTTACTAAGAAAATTGGGTTAAAATCCCCAACTACAATTGTGGCTTCATCTATTCCTCCCTGTAGTTCTGCCACTCTTTGCATACAGATAAGAGAAACAGAGAGAAATTTAAAATTAATTAGATACTTACAAATTCAGATTGTTTTTTGTCTTAGTTTGAGTTCTCCCAAAAGTGTAGATTTTAGGGCAGGTAGGTAAATTGGAGGTGATCCCAGGAAACACAGTAAGGAAATGAAGAGAGAGATCCAGAGAAGGAAGGAAAGCCAATAAAGTGTGTTACTGAGCTGATTTCTGCAGTAAGCGCTGGAGCCACTCCCACAGGGAACTCACCAAGGAACCAAACAGAATGTGTTTCAGAATTCTCCCTCTAAGGGATGGGAAACTGGAGAGTTTATCCACCGATTCCAGTCCCTCCACTGCTTGAGGCTTGCCCCAGGAGTGTTAACTGCCCCCACAATCCCAGGTTTCACCTGAGCAGCTTTTAAGTTTCCAGAAAGAGAAGCACAGTGTAGTGAGATGCTGGCAGTACACAGTAAGCTGTATATAATATCCAGGTGAAATGAGGGGGCAAGGAAGATGTGATACAGGCCAGTAAGAATATCTGTTACAGTTACATATACGGAGATTTCATATTTTATCATTATGAAGTGTTTCTCTTCACCTTTGGTAACGTTCACTGCTTCTGCTTCAAGTACAGTTTAGCTACACCATCTCTCTATTCAAAGTGTTTGTATGGTATATTATTTTAATTTTACATTTTACTTTCAACTTTGCTGTATCTTTATAAACATCAAATAATTGAGTTCAATTATCTTTACCCAGTTGGACAATTTTTATCTTTTAATTAAGCCATTTAGTACATTTACATTTACCGGACCTCTTTGGATTTATATCTATTGTCTTACTAAGTGCTATTTGTACTTAATAAGCTCTACATTCCTATGTTCCTTTTTCTCTCCTCTCTTGCCTTCTTTGGGGCTGGTAACTTCTTACTTCATTTTTCTCCTTCTGTTAGCTTAGAAGACATATACTCTATTAACATATTACTATATATTTTAATGGTTCTTTCAAGATTAAAACTTAACTAATTAACATTAGACTTAACTAATGTTAATTAGATTAACATTAGCTAACATTAACATTAGTTTTACCAATTCCCAGGCAATCCAAGGACTACAGAAATACTTTAATTCCATTTACCGCCCCCACCAACTTGACTAAAATGCCATCATAATTCCACATATACGTTCAACTGAAGGCTCTTGTTGTTATATACAGTAAATATTCGTTTAGATTCACCCACATATTTACTGTCGCCTTTCGTTTCTTCCTTTATCTCTTGAGCTTCCATCTGGGGTCACTTTCCTTCTGCCTGAAGAACATTCTTTTAGTATTTCCTTGGTGCAGGTCTCCTAGTGACAAATTCTCTTAATCTTTGTTGATCTGAAAATGTCTTGATTTCACCTTTATTCTGGGTATAGAATTTATTTCTGGTTTGGCAGGGAAAAAAGTGGACATCATTCTATTGTCTTCTGGCTTTCACTGTTTTAGCTGACAAGTCAGCTGTTAGAAGCCGTTCGTAGATCACCTTTTTTTCTTGGTAAATATCTGGTTTTGTTTTGTTTTGTTTTCTTTGATAACTTTTCAGATGTCCTCTTTGTCTTTAGTTTTCAACCTAGGTAAATATTTCTTTTTGTTTATCTTGCTTGAGGTTTTTGGATTTCTTAAGTACATGGCCTTCCTCACTTCTGGCAAAATCTCGGTCAACTTATCTTCAAATATTGCTTTAGCCCATTCTCACTTTGTTTTCTCCTTCAGGGAGTCCCAAAACACTCATATTTGACCTTCTATATTTTCTATCATTCTGTCTGTGCTTTATTCCAAACATTTTCTTCTGTCATATCTTCCAGTTCACCAATTATCTCTTAATCTTAAAGGCCTTAATTTTGTTTATTCTATTTTTCAACATTATGATTTCCACTCATCTTTTAATAGTTTCCAATTTTTTCGAAAGATAAGAAATGCTCAATCTTGTCTTTTACCTCCTTGAACACAGTAAACATAGCTATTGCAATTTCCTTTCCTTTTCTTTCTTTTACTTTCTTTATTCCTGTGAAAACATCCTTCCTGGAGCTTGCCATTCTCAAATATTGGTAAGCTACTCTAGGCTACCTATATAGCTGTCATCTTGGGAACTCCCTTCACCATTATTCTGGAGGCTTTCTGTGCTTTTCTGCTTTCTGCTTTTTAAAAAAATTTTCTGTCATCTTCTTCATAAGTTTACTTCTCATTTTGGTAGAACATTCTTTTGAGATTTTATATGTCTGAAAATACCTTTATTCTCTTTTCACATCTGGTTGAAAGTTTGATTGGCTGTAGAATTTAGTAGTAAATTTCACTCAGGATGTTCTTAGTTAAATGTGAATCTTTCAGACTTTAACATTTGGTAATGGCAGACTAGGTATTCTGGGCCAGTCCATACACTGAGGACAACTATATAAGTAAGATTTCTTAAAAACTGTGCCTGAAGTCAAGCACTAACATGATAGGGAAGAATTACCAGGTCAGCATCTGGGCTAGGCTAGAGGTGGAGGGAGGTGAGCCCAGAGTTTGGGGCAAGTATTAACTGAAACTAGAGAAGGCAGCTGAAAGGATAAGAGGCCGAAGGAGTTTTGATAACTTCAAGGGGCTAAGAGAAGAACAGCTCTGAACCCCTCCTTGCTTTGAGTTGGGACCCTGAAAGGCTGTACCCTAGGAGTAAGAATGGGCCAGATGTAGAACAGGCCTTCTTGAAATTGCCAATCAACTGCAGACATCTGAATCTCTGAAATCAGTTTAAGATGATCTTAAGAGAGTGCTAATGTCTGTCCCCAGGCATCTCCAAAGTGCTAGGGACTCCAGGAACTTGAAAAAAAAAACCTAAACTTTCTCCAAAGGGAAAAAAAACCCACTATTCTGTGTCTTAAACTATTTCTTCAAATAATTTTACAAATACAGTGCTTGATAACCCACTCAGAAAGTAACCCCACACACACAAGGAGATAAGACAACAAAAGTGAAAAAAAGCAGAAGCAATAAAAGAAAGAGATCCATGGCAAATCTAGATATTGGCATTATCGATTCTTCCTATCATTGAGAAGGTACTTTTTTAAAAAGCAAATAAAAATAAGACAGTTACTAATTCCCCAGAAAACAAAAACATTGCACAAGAAATAAGCTTGATTATTATTATGCTATCTGACTCAGCTGTAAATAATAATTATCATCTTGATATAAACACTAAACACTGACCTAATGAAAAATAAAGATATACAATTCTGGCGGGATGAGGGGATGGAAATTGTATATGAGAGCAAAGCCCTTAATTTTCATAGCAACAAGTTATTAGATAAATAGTTAAAATTGAAAATTAAGAATATTGCCATAAAATGTTATATAGAAATATGAAGAGAATAACAAACAAACAAAAAAAGAGTAAAAGATACTGAAATGACTGCCTCAGAGAAGCAAGAATCCTAGGTTCAGAGGACTAGGGCAGATGATCACTGTTTTTCC